GTGGGGAGTGAGGGCGGAGGGTGGGGCGGGAGCTGGGAGGAGGGGAGTTATGGGGGGAAAAAAAAGAGGAACAAATGTAATAATCTGAACAATAAAGATTTAATTTAAAAAAAAAAACAAAATAGGAAGAAGAACATAGCTTAGTGAGGCAGAGTTTAGAATGGGGATCCAGGATTATGGGAGTTAAAAAAAATTCAGTTTTTTATTGCCATTTTATTACTGAGTAGGTGGGTCATTTTCCATATATTTAAACAAAAATGGCTCTCATAAAGAAGTAAAACATTGAACCTTAGCATATATTTTGGTGTTGTAAGTGTATCTAATTTCTATCAACTTATTCATACGATATCAACATGTATGTGTGCTGGCGAGATAAGGTAGGGGCTGACATTCAGCAGAATACTTGATGCCTGATTTACTCTACCTATTTGTTCATTCCCTACCTTTTTTCAGAAAGCATTTAAGGCAACTAGCTTGGTGAATTATACTCACATCATAAAAATCATAACCGTTGACTAAATGGGAATTAATTTCCTCAATTCACATTTACATGGTATTTTATAGTTTTCAAAATGTCTTTACATATAGTTTTGTTTGAGTAAAATAAAAGGTATCTAGTAACTTATCAAATATATTACAAATAAATAAATCCTTTAAGACAAATTTTTGTATAACATTTGATTTTATAAAATACTAGAGGCCCGGTGCATGACATTCATGCACTGGGGGGTGTGGGCGTCCCTCAGCCCAACCTGCAACCTCTCCAAACTGGGAGCTCTCAGGGGAGCCCTCTCCAATCCGGGAGTTTCTGTCTGTCTTTGCAATCATATGAGCAAATTGTATGAGACCCCAACTCAGTTTGGTTTGTTGCTCACAGCATAATAGAGGCATTTTTTTCCTTTGCTTCATTGGTGGAGATTTCCTGGAAGTTTTAGGATATCTTCCCTTTAATTTTTCCTAGACACTCTGATTTTACTTATGTCTCTCACCTTTGCTTTCCCTCCATCCCCCACTGCAACAGTAACTTGCTCCAGGCTCACTTTGCTCTAGTGTCTAGGGCAGTGGTTCTCAACCTTCCTAATGCCACAACCCTTTAATACAGTTCCTCATGTTGTGGTGACCCCCAATGTCATTGTTACAAATTGAACATAATTAAAGCATAGTGATTAATCACAAAAACAATCTGTAATTATATATGTGTTTTCCGATGGTCTTAGGCGACCCCTGTGAAAGGGTTGTTCAACCCCCAAAGGGGTCGCAACCCACAGGTTGAGAACCACTGGTCTAGGAGATTCGTCTGCCACCAGAACTATGATTCCCAGCATTCCTGGTGCTCCCCGCGTTCTGGGCTTCCACTTCTGGTCCTGGGGCTGCCACCAGAATGACTATTCCCAGAATTCCTGGTGCTCCCCGCGCTCTTGGTTTTCCCTTCCTGCTCTGTCTCCATCCCATGGTCTCCCACTCTGCCAAGTCCTCCAAGCCACCAGCTCTTCCTCTCTGCTCTCCATCTGGTGGCTTGGGGAGCCAAGTTCCCCAAGCTGCTCCACTCTCTGCCTGCTCTCCCCCTCTGCTCTCCACCCGACAGCTTGGGGGTAGCGACCGAGGGAACCACTCCCCCCAAGCCACTGGCTCTCCTGCTCTGCTCTCCACCTGGTGCCTGTGTATGCAAATTAACCCATCTTTGTCTGGTTAATTTGCATACTCACTCCTGATTGGCTGGTGAGTGTAGCGGAGGGATGGTCAATTTACATGTTTCTCTTTTATTATATAGGATTTTATAAAAATAATTCAAAGCTATATTTATTTCTGCTGGTAGATAAAAGTACCTTTTCTTTTTAATGAACCAGGGATATTTGGTCTAATAGTGTTGGTGGAATTTTGACTTCTTCTAAAATAAAATTATCACAATCATTGCAAGACTAATCATCCGAGAGAAGCAAATCAAAGCAACAATACAGTACCATCTCACACCTGTCAGAATGGCTATCATCAACAAATCAACAAATGACAGGTGCTGGTGAGGATGTGGAGAAAAAGGAACCTTCTTGCACTGCTGGTGGGAATGCAGACTGGTGCTGCCACTGTGGAGAACAGTATGAAGTTTCCTCAAAAAACTAAAAATGGAACTCCCATTTGATCCAGTGATCCCACTTCTAGGAATATATCCCAAGAAACTAGAAACGCCAATTAGAAAGGACATATGCACCCCTATGTTCATAGCAGCACAATTCACCATAGCTAAGATTTGGAAACAGCCTAAGTGCCCATCAGCAGATGAGTGGATTAAAAAACTGTGGTACATCTACACAAGGGAATACTATGCTGCAGTAAAAAAGGAGTTCTTACCATTTGCAACAGCATGGATAGGCCTGGAGAGCATTCTGCTAAGTGAAATAAGCCAGTCAGAGAAAGATAAATATCACATGATCTCACTCATTTGTGGAATATGATGAACAACATAAACCGATGAACAAAAACAGATCCAGAGACAGAGTAGCATCGATCAGACCACCAAACCTCAGAGGGAAGGTAGGGGAGGGTGGGGGTAAGGGGGAGCGATCAACCAAAGGACTTATATGCAAGCATATAGGCCTAACCAATGGATACAGACAACAGGGGGGTGAGGGCATGGGGGGGGGTAGGGGGTAATGTGGGGATAAGGACACATATGTAATAATGTAATCAATAAAAAATATATAAAATGTAAAAAAAAATACCTTTTCTTTTTAATGATCCAGGGATATTTGGTCTAATAGTGTTGGTAGAATTTTGACTTCTTCCAAAATAAAATTATCACAATCATTACAAGAAAATTTTTGAACAAAATCAGCTATCTATGACTCTTTCATTGTAACAGATCTCAGAACACAGACTTTAAAAGGAGATTGTGTAGTACCTTACATCACATCATTTTTTAAAAAATATATTTTATTGATTTTTTACGGAGAGGAAGGGAGAAGGATAGAGAGTTAGAAACATCGATCAGCTGCCTCCTGCACACTCCCTACTGGGGATGTGTCCACCACCAAGGTACATGCCCTTGACTGGAATTGAACCTGGGACCCTTGAGTCTGCACGCTGACACTCTATCCACTGAGCCAAGCCGGTTAGGGCTACATCACATCATTTTACTGCTTTCTCTAAATCTGGATTAAAAATAGAAAAGCCACAGGACAGAAAATTCTCTTGTAATTTATAGGGATTCAGGATTTCCCTGAGTTGTGGGGGAAAGAACTGGAATGATCTGCAATCCTGGCATTGACTTGCCTTGAATCAAGTGAGAATCATGGGTGAATTAGCAGATACAGTTGTTTAAAGTTCGAGTTTAGCTCTGATTCTTATCAACAAGCTTCATAGGAAGACTATTTTCTTTTTTTTTTTAAATTTATTGCTTAAAGTATTACAAAGGGTATTACATATGAATTACTGATTCTTCATATGTTAACATACTCTCACATGTTCTCAGTTACTTGATTCTTTTCAATATACAAAATTATAAACACCAAACAATTACATTTTAATGTAGCTAAAAATAATTTTTTTGTCATATAACCTGGAGCTGTAATTTCTTTTACATTTCTAAAAATTCTTATTTTATAAGCAATTTGGTATTTTCATATAAACTTACATTGTAAATTGTTGCATAGGACTGGGAATAGGAATTGCAAGCAAACTGGTGCAATTCCCACAAGTTAGTAATATGTAGAAAAGCACTGTTGAAACCAAATTGGAAAGAGGTTTTAAAGATGCCACTTTTCTTTCTCTGACTGGCTTATTTCAATGATTTCACTTATATGTGGAATCTAATGAACAAAATAAACTAACAAACAAAACAGACTCATATAAAATTATAAAACTGCCAAAAATAAAAGAGAATATAAAAAAACACTCAAAAACAAAAACAGATTCATAGATACAAAGAACAGACTGACAGCTGTCAGAAGGGATGGGGGTTGGGGGACTGGGTAAAAAGGTGAAGGAATTAATAAAAAAAACCCACACACACCCAAAACACAAAAAAACTCCAAAACTCATAAAGTATGGTGATTACCAGAGAGAAAGGAGGTAGGGGGAGATTAAAGAAGGTAAAGGGGGGATAAATGGTGATGGAAGGAGACTTGACTTGGAGTAGTGAACACACAATACAATATATAAATGATATATTGTAGAGTTGTACATCGAATCCTATATAATTTTATTAACTGATGTCACCCCAATTAATTCAATAAAATTAAAAGACAAGAAAAGCCCTGTCACTTTTCTCAGAAACAAGTCAGTGGTAACTAAATTCCAAATACATTTAAGGTAAAGTTGAATGTTAAAATATTAGTGGGAATACTAGTATATTTATTATAGGCATAAAAATGTAGCTATTTGCCCAGTAAATCCAAGTCTATGGATTAAAACTCTAATATACAGTTAATAACTTACATAAAAGGGAGTAAAATAATTTATTGTTTTGTCATTTGAGCAATTTAATTAGCATAACTGAACTTTTTTTAGACCCACTAGGATTGAGAAGAAGCTGGTCCACAAAAATTATGGTTTTGTATCACAACTATTTACTTTGAACCCCACTTTCAAACAATGTTAGTTATTTATATGGGTAAATCATAAACTGTTTCTTAAAAGCAATAAAAATTATTTATATAGCCCTGGCTGGTGTGCTTAGTGGTTAGAGCATAAGCCCGCCAATGGAAGGTCGTGGGTTTGATTCCCCTTCAAGGGCATGTACCTGGGTTGCAGATTTGATTCTGGCCCAGGTCTGGGAGCATGTGGGAGGCAACCAATCGATGTGTCTCTTTCATGTCAATGCCTCTCTCTCTCTCTCTCTCTCTCTCTCTCTCTCTCTCTTCCCCCTGCCTCCAAAAATTTATACAGCATATATAATTTTAGTTTTCAATGAGAGCTTCAATTTCTAGAAATTACAGCAAAACTAGGCAGCACCAACATTGAAATAAGCAAACATTTTCTACGAAATTGAAGTATTACTACCATACCAAGTTCACATTTTCTTCCCAAGACTGATGTATCTGTATTGTAGTTTGTATCTCCCTACAAAAGAAAAAAACACACAACACAAACACAAACAAAACATCAGTACTGCAGTTTTCCTATCTAAAAGAAAAGATGTAACTGAATATACAAACGATCAGAATAGTAACTCAAAGTACAGTACTCACCATTCATTCATTGCTTCTTTAGTTATTAAATCCATGCCTTCTTCCTGAAAGACAGGAACATGAGAATAAATTGAATATAGTTCCTGTGGTTTCACAAGGTGATTTCATTCACTGTGCTATTGAATGGTCAAATGAACCTCTAAACCAGTGGTTCTCAACCTTGGCTGCACATTAGAATCACCTGGGAATCTTTTTAAAATCCTGATTTCTGGGCCTCATCCTCCGGAAATTCTGTTTCTTTGTCTCACCCCATAACAAAGAAACAGAATTTCCGGAGGATGAGGCCCAGAAATCAGGATTTTAAAAAGATTCCCAGGTGATTCTAATGTGCAGCCAAGGTTGAGAACCACTGCTCTAAACAAATATCTGGTTCTCTACTTTTCATTGTTGCACCTAACACACTAAAGATCTATTACTTATGCATTACAGTATATCAGATAAGCAAGGATTGATTATGAGAAAAACTTTGTGCCTTCATTCAAAAGAGAAAATATAAAACATTAATATTATACTATTTTCCTAATATTTTTTTTATTTAAAAAATATTTTTTATTGACTTTTTAGAGAGATGAAGGGAGAGAGATAGAAACATCGATGAGAGAGAAACATCAATCAGCTGCCTCCTGCACACTCCCTACTGGAGATGTGCCCTCAACCAAGGTACATGCCCTTGACCGGAATCGAACCTGGGACCTTTCAGTCCGCAGGCCAACGCTCTATCCACTGAGCCAAACCGGTTATGGCCTATTTTCCTAATATTAATACTATAATATTAATACTACTCAGAGCCCAAAACATACTAAATTTCTGTCAGTAAGGGTGCACTTAAGTAAACAATCATACAAACATGATTTAAATCTAGTCATTCACATTGAAAAATATGTATTATATGTTAAGAAAAAATAGATGCTATTTATGTAAAATTTTAAACAAGAGGTGTTCAGAAGGATGTTCACCAAAAATTTAACAATATTTATCAATGAGTAGTGAGGTTTGGGGTATTTCTTCCTTTCTTTGTACATTACCATATTTTCTGTCTTTGTATAATATGCAAGTATCATTTTCACAGTTATTTTAAAAAATAATCCACATATGGAAAGATATTCTGTGTTTGTGGATATGAAGACATAATACTGTTAAGAAGGCAATGCTACTCAAAATGATCTACAGATGCAAGGCAACCCTCTATCAAAATGAATGGCCTTCTTCTGCAGAAACACCCATCCTAAAATTCACATGGAATCTCAAGGGGACCCAAATAGTCAAAACAATTGTAAAAACGAAGAATAAACTTAGAAGGCTCCCAGTTCCCAATTTCAAAACTTACTACGTAGCTATAGTAACCAAAAACAGTGTGGGACCGGCATAAGAACAGACTTTATGGAACAGAAATAAACCCTCACATATATGGTCTATTGAATTTGGAAAAGGATGGCAAACCATTTAATGGGGGAAAGGATGATCTTTTCTACAAATGGTACTTGGAAAACTGAACATGCACATACAAAACAATACAGTTGAATGTTCTCCCTACACCATATACAAAAATTAACTCAAAATATATGAAAGAAAAAAAATTAAGTAAAAAGAGTAAGACAGGAAGAGCAGTAGAGGCAGAATTGTATTATAATAAATAACAAGAAAACCGTCTCAAATAAGGAAAACTAGAAAACACTATGCTAACTGAAATAAGCCAAACACAAAAGAAAAAATATTGTATGATCCCATTTACATGGGGTACCTAGCATAATCAAATTCATAGAGACAGAAAGTAGAATAGAGGTATAGGAGATGGGGGTAAAATGGGGCATTATTGCTGAATGGGTACAGAGTTTCTGTTTGGCATGATGATGATTAACATTGTGAATGCACTTAATGCCACTAAATTGTACTCATGGTTAAAATGGTTAATAAAAAACCCACAGTCCAAATTCATCCTGGCATTCTTAAAAACGTATTTCACACCTAATAAAGTATCTAGAATAGTGCTGGAAAAATATGATGCTAAATATTATGGATAACATAAAATAAGCAGATAAGCCTTCCTTAAGGACACCTATAATCATATGTGAGAGGCAAGCTTTACTTATATTAGGTTGGAGCTCTCCAAAGTAAGCATGATCAGAGCCTGGGAGGAGTAGAAGGTGATCCCCTGAGAAAACAGAAATTCACTATATATATATATATATATATATATATATATATATATATATATATATGACCTTTAGCTAATTACAACTAATTGCAGTTCACCTGAGTCAAGTTAGGTGGACATATGGATAGCACAGTTGTTAGAAACATAGGCTTTGGAGCAAAACAGAACTGAGTCAAATCCGCAGTTCTGTAACTTATTACCTGTGCAACCTTAGGCAAGCAACTTATCTTGAGCCTCAGTTTCCTCACCCATATGAATATTATGGTAATAGAGGACAAGGAGGTGGTTGTAGAGTTCTTATTTAGTGCCGGGCAACCTATGTAAGTAAGCGCTCAATATAACCTAGGTGTTCTTATTCTTATTCAATAGGTAATAGGAAGCCATTGTAAAATTTTGCACAGGAGAGAAAGAAAGAAGTTAAAAGTTATGTTTTAGAAAAGTTATCTTGGTGTTGGTTATAGAAGTCAGATTAAACTGGCAGAGATGGGAAATCTGTTAGAATATTATTAGAGTAATCTGGGCCCAAGGGACAGAAGGAAGTAGCAGTGGGAACAGAGATGCTGTCAAGGAAGAATTAATAGGATTAGCTGCATAATTAGATACAGACAAAAAATAAGGAAGAAGTGAAGATGAGCTTCGAATCTTAAAACTGTGTGACTATTTTTTAAAAATACATTTTTATTAATTTCAGAGAGGAAGGGAGGGAGAGAGAGATAGAAACATCAATGATGAAAGAGAATCATTGATTGGCTACCTCCTGCATGCCCCCCACTGGGGATCAAGACAGCAACCCAGGCATGTTCCCTTGACCAGAATCAAACCCAGGACTCTTCAGTCCATAGACCAAAATTCTATCCACTGAGCCAAACCAGGTAGGGCTGACTGTGACTATTTTGATGTCATTATAGAAAATGAGGAGGGATTAAAAATGGCCACAGAGTAAGTGGATGCTGCATGAACATGCTCCAAGGAACAAACTGATATTACGACTAAAATACAGAAAAACATCCTGAACAATCAACGGAAAACTCACAAGACAGAACCCTGATACCTGAGAACTAAAAGTGGAGACAACATAGAAACTAGTAGGAGGGGCAGAGGTGCAAAAGGGCTGGCCGGGCACCCACAGTCAGCAACTGAAGTCCCGAAGAGATATCTCAGCTGTGGGGGGTTGCCATTGAGAACTCTGGGATCTAATATCCAAGCTGAGCCCCCCAGCAGAGAGCACCAAAACTGAGAAGGGTACCCACATAACATCTGGCTATGAAAAGCAGCAGGGTGCTGTCTTCCAGGGAGTAACAGCTGAAAATTCAGGCACCCCCTTAAAGGGCCAACACACAAAATTCCCTGTGGAACCACCCACCTTTTGTTCTGGCAGAGGGAGGGTGAAGTAGACAGGAGCTGTGAGAGCAGAAGCCAGGACTGGAGACTCAGGGGATAGAGCTCAGAAGGCAGACATCCCAAGTTTCCTGGACATCTTTCCCACACAGACATTTGCCTTGCCTAGGGGGAAGACAGTTGACACACCCTATTGGAAAATACCTTGTCCTAAGGCCACTTAAGAGATTAAAAATAATTAGCAGCTAGGCAGAAGCAACTGCCCCACCCTGTTGAAATCAACTCTTGCCACACTTGAGGATGACCACCTCGGGGGTAATTCAAGTTGGAATCCTATCAGTCTGTAGGCAGAGGTGGTCTCTGGAGGCTTTAAGTCTATGCCTGATCTAATTAGTCAGAAACAGCCTTTAACACTGTCCTACACTAGAGATTGAGAGGTGTAGAGTACCTACCTAATACAGCGGTTCTCAACCTGTGGGTCGCGACCTCTTTGGGGGTCGAATGACCCTTTCATAAGGGTTGCCTAAATACATCCTGCATATCAGATATTTACATTACGATTCATAACAGTAGCAAAATTACAGTTATGAAGTAGCAACGAAAATAATTTTATGGTTGGGGGCCACCACAACATGAGGAACTGTATTAAAGGGTTGTGGCATTAGGAAGGTTGAGAACCACTGACCTAATACATAGTCACAAACACAACAGACGATCAAAATGAGGAAACAAAGAAACAACCCCCAAATGAGAGAACTAGTGAATTCTCCAGAAGAAGAGATAATTGGAGCAGAGATAAGAAATTTATGTGAATCAGAACTCAGAGTAATGATGGTAGAAATGCTCAACAGCATGAAAAAAGATATAGTAACTATGAAAAAACAAGTCTGAGATAAAGAATGACATAACACAAATAAAGAACACATTGGAAGGAATATACAGAAGATTAGGGGAAGCTGAGGATCAAATCAGTGAATTAGAAGACAGAGTGAAAAATATCACTTAATCAGAGAACCTAAAAGAAAAAACAATTAAAAAACAGGAGGACAGCTTAAGGGAGCTGTGGGGCAATGTGAAATGTAACAATATTAGAATAGCAGGTATGCCAGAAGAGCCAGAAAGGGAGAAAGGAATAGAGAAGGTGTTTGAAGAAATAATGGCAGAAAACTTCCCTAACCTGGTAAAGGAAAATGTCACACAAGTTCAAGAGGCATAGAGAACCCCAAACAAGAAGAATCCAAACAGGCCCACACCCAGACACATCATAATTAAAATGCCAAAAATTAAAGATAAAGAGAGAATCTTAATGGCAGTAAGAGAAAAGAAAACTGCCCTAACCAGTTTGGCTCAGTGGATAGAGCATTGGCCTGCGGACTCAAGGGTCCCAGGTTCGATTCTGGCCGAGGGCATGTACCTTGGTTGTGGGCACATACCCAGTAGGGAGTGTGCAGGAGGCAGCTGATCGATGTTTCTCTCTCATCGATGTTTCTAACTCTATCCCTCTCCCTTCCTCTCTATAAAAAATCAATAAAATATATTTTAAAAAAGAGA